CTCTTTCTCTTTTTCTTTGTTTTTTTTTTGCTTTTTTGCTTCTTTTCTTTTTTGTTCTTGATTGGATCTTCGCGCTTGCCATTTGGTCCACCTTTTGGTGTCTCCTTTTGATTGATGTCTTCACTCATGTGAGCAGATTTCTTCCACCTTGCCCCCCAATGTGAAGGGTGATCCTTGGTTAGGGTTGAATCAGAAGAAAAATACTACAGGCTCAAAAGGGGACACAAGGGATATATATTTTCTCCTGTTGTAAAGGGATAAAGAAAGAAAGCCGTTCATCATTTCATATATGGAAGTCCTCACAGAAGAGGTATCCCCAGGGGGATAGATTTTCAGGATTAATTTCATTCACATGAAAACAGTGTAGTTAATGCGTGATAGAATTATTTCGAATGAATTGTTTTTTTGCTCCTTGCTCCCAACATATCTCAATGTTCAGGCTCCCGGCGAGATGCCCCAAATTGTGTCTTAGAAGAAAGCTCATGTTCAAATGAACAACTCAATGCCTTGGGTATTAAAATGTTAATTTTGAGTCTAAAAAGACAATGGTGTGACTTTATTTGACTCAAAGAAAGGTATGGGTGTATCAAAAAGATAAAGACAATGTTCAAGAATTTCAAAGGGAAGTTATGTCAAAATTTGGTCTTTTTGGTAATGATCAAGGTATTTCATTTTGGGGTTTGAGACATGATAAGAAAGGTCTAATCTTGTCATATGTCAAAAATCTATAATTCTTGAAGAGTTAAAAGAATCCTTAATTCATTTAATATTCGAAGAACTAAAGATTAAAATTTGTTCAATTGCTCCACCTTAGAAAGTAGCATAAATTCAATCGTTTAAAAGATTAAGCAAACATGAAATATTAGTGACGTGTTCAAACAAAACAATCCTCTAAGTGCAAATGGTATATGCCATGCCCCCTTCTTCGGCTGTCAATGCCCCTGAATCCATCAGGTTTTGGATATTGCGCTTCAGCGCCTTATAGTTCTCAGAGGAATGTTTGGAGCATCCTATGTGGCAATTACAAATAGCTTCAACATTGTAGCCCTTAGGATATGTGGACTTTTTTCTCAGATCATCTTGGCAGGTTTAGTCGTACAACCAACTGATTGGGCTCATTCGTTGTGATAGTTTTTTTATGATGTTACAATCTTGCTTCCATGTGGTGTCATGTGGTTAAAACCACTTCATCGAATTCTCCATGAAGAGATTTCATGTTTATGAAAATACTTAAAAAATGAAATGTATATACAAAATGCAAAAATGCATGAAATATTCGAGGCATTGATCCAAAAACATGTATGTTATTGTAAATAACCTTTATTGGGACAAAAGTGTTTTATCTTTTAAGAGACAATAAACATATTTAAAGGTACATCCGGACTAAATCCTCTAGGCCCGGAACCGGTTGACTAGTCATTTGCCTCCGTCTTTCACCGGTTGAATAACCTGTCGAACCGCTCCGACCTCTCTGGATGAACCATGAAAATGTTGAGTTTTTTTGTATTGGTTCCCAAAAAGTGTCGAATGACTTCATCTCTGGCTTTCATCCTTTGCTGAATCGGAAATTCCATTGAAATCTTCCATCAAAGGGATTATTTGAAGTTCATTTGCTTGTTTCTTGAATTTTTCGACAGTGACTTGCCATCTTGTTCTTGTTGTCTTTGAATGGACTCTCGAGGTCAGTAACATTTTTCTCGTCTTGCCCCTGCCACCTTGGTCAACCCATTTTTGAAAAGTTAACTTTTGATGTACTTGATTGTGGGCACCATGAATGTGACACATAGTTGTCTTGCAAATTGTCCTCATTTTCTTTCTCTTGCCGGACCCCTGCGTTCTTATCTCTTGTATTACAACCCCTTTGTCCATTAATACAGATTATTCATGTTTTAACAAACAAGTTTTTGGTGGATCAACACCTCTTTTAAATGATGCAAATAATGAAAACAAAATAAAAGAGAACAAAAGTAAAACAGAGTTAGTGAGATAAATCAAAACAATAATAAAAACGAAAAATCCTACCCCACATGATATCTACCCCCCATGCTTTAATTCTACCCGGACATGATCTCTATCCCGCATGCTAATTTCACACAAATCCTAACCGCATATTTGTCTAGTTCGCATGCTTTGAACAGAAAGTAAAGCAGGAAATAATTCCGGCATCCTAGGGTTTGAAATGAGGTTTTGAGGTGGGCTCTAACTCCTTGTAGTCTCCCGAGTTAGGTTCTAAAAAAACGGTACCCGAGTTCTTCTTGCTGGTGCCTCCTTAGGCTTACCAGACCCTTAGTCCTAAACTCATCACAGGCTTGTGTGGACTAAGTTAAACTCGAGAGGAAACACTCCCTTATGCCCATACAGAGAATAAATTCACACGAAGACATAAGGTATATGAATCCCGAAGGCTACTTGCTAGGCCCGCACGGTGAATAAATTCACACGAAGGCGTCGCTTTCACCCCCACTTAAATAGGGTTTGGAGCTCGGGTATAGAGCCTTTAGATGAACAACAAGTTTGGGAGTCTGAAATCATTAGAAAACTGTTAGTACAACTATTTACTCGAAAAAAATAATCAAAGATAAATAATAAGAATCGAAGAATTAAATTAAAATTTAAACTTATAATTTTCTCTTAAAAAGACAACCAAAAATTAATTCGGCCTGACTCACTTACCTGTCCCCAGCGGAGTCGCCAAGCTGTCGTAACCGTCTTTCGCTTGGGCCCCGGAATTGGGCTTCGACTTGAAAATGTGGATTGGAGTCGCCACCGATCATTTATTTTAAAATAAATGGGTTGATCGGATACCCTATGTCTGACCTGATTTGCGTTTTACCAGAAATGTGTTGGGTTCGGGAGTCGATTACGGTCAAGGAAGGATTAGCACCCTTGAACCGCCCTTTCGGTACCAATTAATTTACCGGTTGTCTTAGTTGCGAAAATTCAAATTTAAATTAGGATTTAAAACATTCAATTCAAATTACCTACCTTTGATCGATTGAAATTATTACTGAAAAAAGTCAAAAATATGTTAGATGGTAAAATAAAAGAAATATCGAAAAATTAAAAAGAAAAAAATAAATAAATAAATAAATAACAATAAATATGTTAAGAGTGAAAAAAATAAAAAAAATAAAAATAAAATGAATAAAATCATTTAGTCTCAAGAAATAAAAAAATAAATTATATATATATATATAATATTAAAAGAAATAAGGAAAAGAAATACTAAAGTTAATATATATATATATACATATCATGCACGTAATTCAAGATGGGATATGGCTGGTAAAGAATCCTAATACAGGTGTAGGTTACTGCCCTATGCACAATATATTAACATAAAAATGAGAATAGACATGTGTATTACAATTTACAAATGGTAAAATAAATCCTGCAGACACTAAAATAAACGAAATAATAAGTTCTAAAAGGTAAGTGTAAATTGAATAGATTGTGAAATTACTCGATCAAAATAAATAGAGATAATTCGGTCTAAAAAGTAAAAAGCATAAGGACGAAAATATAATACAGATGAAATAAAGGCTCAAAGTAGTATGAAAGTAACCCAAAATAGAACCAAAATGCAATTAAAAACTAGAATGGCTTCATACACAAATGACCCCTGCATTAATACCTGTGCACATACAAGACACCAAAATAATTTTAAAGTGCTCATTTCTTTCTCTTAGTAAAGAAAACAGAGAGGAAGAAACATTTCACCGGGAAAGGGAGGAAGGGAGGACCATCACCCCCTGATAGTCTCTGGTGGTCATTTGGTGCCAAAATAAAAGTGAAGGTCCGTCTTAACACTAGTAGCTCGGATCTGGTATTGGTTTTGCGAGATATGGCCTTCAACTCCACGAAAAAATCAAATATCGTTCAAGTTTCCACTGTTCCGATCTGGTTATTTCGCCGTTGTATCGTTTTTGTTATGAGGTATGTTGTTCTCCTCGGGCTTCTCCTTCAGTTGACCGTTCGGTTTTATCGCCTGGCCACCGGAGCTACCGTCGCTGAAAATCCGAAGGTAAGCTCTCTCTTGTTTTCAAAATTTTTTATTCTTTTCGAACATCCCCTTCACCCAAATCTCTGTTTTTTGCTACCAGTTGCTTGTGTGTGCTCTCGTGATTTCCAGTATTTTTGTATGTATTTCCGTATCTTTAATCCCCCCATACAGTATGTATTACATTGTATTTATAGTGTTAAAAGAAAAATATATTTTTAGACTCCTAATCTCACTAGAAATCGAATGCGTGTTGTTTATTGTTTGTTGATGATGACTGAGATCCTTGAGCCGGAAGACGCGGGCTGTTGTGGGTGAGAAACGTACGGCTGTGGGAACTTCGAATGGGTGAAAACGGCGCTGCCAGGAGGTGTGTAGCTAGGGTTCTGGAAACTTGTGGGATGCTCACGTATGTTGGGTCACATGGGACTTGGGTATGGTGTGTTGGACCATATGTGATTTTAGGCCTGTAAAATGTGAAACATAAGTAAAAAATAAATAAATAATAATGTATGTTTATTACGCATAAATGGATGAAATAGAGGGTGTCTACACCCACCTCTCATGCAACCCCCTAAATTTACACCGGTTTCATGAATAAATGGAACCAATGAAACACCGAATGACTTTGCTGCAAAAAGGATATCATGCAGTTTTTATTAACCAATCATACATCTGCAGCTTCCCCTTGAAAATCACTTTAACATGAGACAATGGAGCAAGATAAAAATGCATGGAAGAGATGGATAATTGGTTGAAACCTTTCTAAAAATACCTGCACAACGACTGGTTTTATAATGCTAAAACAGATTTTCTTTTAGCATATACTGATGATTTATAAATAAGAATGGAACCCTTTGATATCCTTTAAAGAATATTTCAAAAAGCTACAAATTAATCCCAGAGAAGTGGGATAACAAACAGCAGAACTACTACAAGTCTACAACCTGACCATCAGATAATAGGAGTTATAATGGAGTTATAATAATTTACATATGACCTTGCTAACAGATTATAGAAGTTCACATATGATCATGCTAACGGGTTAAAATAGTTAATGACCTTAATGAAAATAAAATTCCTAAATTAGAAATATTATGTAGGATTATGTGAATATTCTTTTAGTAGTTATAATTCCTAACTTTAAGGGATTGTATCTTTCCCTAGAATTAGTTACTTTTCTAGTTTAAGAGTTTCCTAAGTTAAGATTACAGTTTGTGTATAAATAAGTAACAAATCCCACAAGATAAAGATAAGTTTTTACAGTGAATTACTCGACTTTTAACATGGTATTAGAACTGTTTTAAGCTTATTTCTGGGTCCTGTAAATCTCGGTTTAGCAACTTTTTACTTTCCCTAAACCCTTCCCTTAAGTGTGTATTGTTAGCCCAACAAAAAACATGGTTAAGGTGGTCGATACCAACAGTTCTGAAACTGTTCAAGGAGGCACAATGAGTGAAGGAAGTTATTCTATCCCGGTGGGTGATTTGCAAAATATACAAGTGCCTATAGGTTGAATGAAAAAAACTACCTCAAATGGTCTCAGCTAGTTCATACATTCCTAAAGGGTAGAGGTAAGTTGAGCCATTTTCTTGGAACTGGACCTAAGGAGAGAGATCCTAGGTTTGATTCTTGGGATGAACAAGATTCATTAGTCTTGTCCTGGTTATTGAATTCAATGGTGTCAGAGATCAGTGATACTTGCATGTTTCTTAATACTGCCCAAGAAATATGGGAAGTTGTAAAACAAACGTACTCAAAAGTTAAAGATGCTGCCCAGATTTATGAAATCAAGAGCAAGATTTCATCCACCAAGCAGGGAAGTAGATCAATTACCGAGTACTCTAATCTATTGGAAAATCTTTGGCAGGAGATGGATCACTACCGGTGTATCCAAATGAGGTGTAGTGAAGATGCAGCAGCCATAAAGAGTTTTGTTGAAAAAGATAGAATTTATGATTTTCTTGTTGGACTAAATATTGAATTCGATGTAGTGAGAGTCCACATTCTTGGAAAAGAAGAACTACCCTCACTAAATGATGCTATTGCAATCATTCGTGCTGAGAAAGGAAGAAGATGAGTAATGATTGAAAGCAATCAATCAAGTGGAGAGTTCAGCCTTAATCATTAAAGTTGTAACCAAGAGGAAAGTTGGTTTGGAACAAAATATCACTAAAGAAAATAAACTAAAAGCAAACAAAAATAGTGAATAGGGACTCTCTATGGTTTACCTACTGCAAGAAACCTCGCCACACAAAAGAGAAGTGTTGGAGACTTCATGGAAAGCCACAAACAACAAGTAAAAAAATTTTAAGAAAAAGAAGGATCATCAAAGGGACAAGGAATAAAATATACAACCAAACACTTGGTTAAGGACTATCAAGAACAACATGTTGAGTTCAATAAAGAAGAAATAGAGAAACTGAAGAACTTGCTCAGATCACTACAAAACACCCACTCTACAAGTACATGTTATCTGGTTTTCTTTAGTATATCCTCTTCTCAGGACTCTAATACCTCGGATTTACCTACCCAAAGCTCTTGGGTAATTGACTCAGGAACTACAAACCATATGACCAATTCTTTACTCAGATTTATCACTTATACACCCTGTCCTAGCAACAAAAAAATAACAGTTGCAAATGGTAAAATGATAATATTTACTGGCCAAAGAGATATTGTTATAAGCAAGACCCTTACACTAAAAAATGTATTTCACGTACCAAAATTGTTTACTAATCTTCTATCTATCCAGAAAATTACCAAGGACACTAATTGCAGTGTTCTTTTTCATTCAGTTCAGTGTATTTTTCAAGAACAATGAACGAAGAAGATGATTGGACGTGCTATGGAAGTAAATGGCCTATATTACCTTGAAGACCCCGGTGGACAAGTCAGTGGCCTGAACTCCCCACCTTTTTTGCTTTTATCAGAATCCAAAAACAATAAGGACCAGATATGGCTTCATCATCTCCGCGTTGGTCACCCATCCTTTAAAATTATAAAACTTATGTTTCCCTCTTTGTTCAAATCCTTAAATATTTGAAGAATTCCATTGTGACATATGTGAACTTGTAAAACATAAAAGAACTTTTCCAACAAGTAAAAAAAGTGTCCAATCCTTTTACCCTTATTCACAGTGATGTTTGGGGACCATCCACTATTCCAAATATAATTGAGGCATGATGGTTTGTCTCATTCATAGATGATTGTACGCGAGTGTCATGGATATTTTTTCTATAACACAAATCGGATGTAACCTCTCCTTTAAAACCTTTTATACCATGATTAAGACTCAGTTTGGGGTAGACATAAAAAGGTTTCGATCAGACAATGCTAAAGACTATTTCAACCAAGTCCTATCACCTTATTTCCAAGAAAAAGGCATCATACACGAGTCCTCTTGTGTGAATACCCCTCAACAGAATTATATGACAGAAAGAAAGAATAGACATATCCTTGCCATAACAAGAAACCTTTTATTTAAAAAAATATCCCTAAATAATATTGGAGGAAGGTGTGTTAACCGCCACCTATATGATCAATAAACTATCCACTAAAGTCCTTGAATCTCATAGTCCTATTCAAATCCTAACCAATTTCTTCCCAAATTTCAGCCCCTCTTAACCTTAAACCTAAAATATTTGTTTGTGTTACCTTTGTCCTTATACACTTCTAAAATAGGGGCAAGCTTGATCCAAGAGCATTAAAATGTATCTTTGTTGGTTACCCTTCCCCTCAAAAGGGGTATAATTGTTATCATCCACCTATAAGAAAACACTTTGTTTCGGTTGATGTTACTTTTGTAGAATAAGAAATCTATTTTACTCGCCCTTATCTTCAAGGGGAGAGATTTCATTTAGGGAAGATAAGAACAGAGATTATTTCCTACTTCAGCTTCTCATTGACTTTCCTACACCAGCCCAGTAGTCTAATTCTGTCTTTCAGCCTATCCAACCTATCCAACAACCGGGTTTTGATCAACAGACTGTTTTTGACCATTCTAGCACCTTACAATATAAGCCTAACAACCCTCATCAAAAACCTCAGGACACTACTCGTCCTCTGTCGGTCTATTCGAGGAAGAAGGCACCAGTCCAGGTCCAATTATCTTATTCTTCTCCTATACAAAACGAGGTAACTACCGAATCTATCTCTTATCTAAATGTCACTGAAAAATCTGATTGTGTTTCTGATCACAGGGATTTTGATTTTCCTATTGCAATTAGAAAATGAAAAATAACTTGTACCACAAAAAAACCTTCATTACCTATTTATGTCTTACAAGAACCTATCTAGCAATCACAAGGCCTTCATTACTAGCCTAAATACCATTGACATTCCTAAAAAATGTTTCTGAGGCATTATAAAATGAGAATTAGTAGAATTCCATGCAAGCTGAAATGGAAGCACTTGAGAAGAACAAAACATGAGACTTGGTTAATCTACCAAAAGAGAAGAAACAAAGGGGTGTAGATGGGTGTTTACATTAAAATACAAATCAGACGGTTCTTTAGAGATGTACAAAGCAAGGTTGGTGGCTAAAGGATACTCTCAAACTTATAGGATAGACTACCCTGAGACATTTGCTCATTTCGTAAAGATGAACACTGTGAGAATTTTATTATCATTAGTTGCTAATCAAGGATGGAAATTATAGCAGTATGATATTAAGAATGCATTTTTGTATGGGGATCTTGAGAAGGAAGTCTACATGAACATCCCACATGAATTTGGTCCAAGTAATGGGTAATCAGTGTGCAGATTAAAAGAAGGCCCTGTACGGGCTGAAGCAGTCCCCGAGGGCCTGGTTTGGGAGATTTACCAAAGTGATGCAGAGATTGGGCTACAAACAAAGTCAAGGGGATCATACTTTATTTGTGAAACATTCCTCTTCAGGGGGAGTTACTGCTTTACTAGTTTATGTACATGATATCATAGTTACAGGAGATGATTTAAAAGGGATTGATGACTTAAAGAAGTCTTTGGTGAATGAATTCTAAGTAAAAAATCTTGGAAGGCTAAAGTGGCACATTTACAGCAAGGAATCATCATATCCCAACAGAAATACACCCTAGATTTGTTGGCAGAAATTGGAAAACTAGGATGCATACTGGCAAAAATTCCAATAGAAGTTAATTACAAACTCGGAGATTCGATAGAGGATGTAGCAGTTGATAGAAGCTCATATCAGAGACTTGTGGAAAGACTGATTTACTTATCACACACCAGACCTGACATTACTTATGCAGTTGGAGTTGTGAGCCAATTTATGCACAATCCTAAATAATCACACCTAAGGGCAGTAACTCAAATCCTACAGTATTTAAAGAGTACACCAATCATAGGAATTATGTATAAAATAAAGAAAAATTGAATTTGGAAGCCTACACTAATGCTGACTATGTAGGGTCCATGGTTGATAGAATATCAACTTCAGGATATTGCACCTTTCTTGGAGGAAATTTAGTGACATTGAGAAGCGAAAAAATAGAATGTGGTGGCTAGATCTAATGCAGAAGCTGAGTTTAGAGCAATGACACTTGGGATTTGTGAATTATTGTGGCTTAAGATTATTCTGGAAGATTTAAAAATTAAATGGGAAGGACCAATGAAGTTGTATTGTGATATTAAATCAGCAATCAATATTGCTCATAATCCAGTTCAACATGACAGGACAAAACATGTTAAAGCGGATAAACATTTCATAAAGTAAAAAATTGACAATGGACTAATTTGTACTCCCTATGTGTCCACTGGAGATTAAGTTGTAGATGTACTTACCAAAGGACTACCTGGGAAGTATTTTCAGAAGTTAGCAAGCAAGCTGAAGATGGAGAACATCCATTCCCAGCTTGAGGGGGAGTGTCAGAAAATAGATTCCTAAATTAGAAATATTATGTAGGATTATGTGAATATTCTTTTAGTAGTTTAAATCCCTAACTTTAAGGGATTGTATCTTTCCCTATAATTAGTTACTTTTCTAGTTTAAGAGTTTCCTAAGTTAATATTACAGTCTGTGTATAATTATGTAACAAATCCTATAGGATAAAGATAAGTTTTTACAATGAATTACTCGACTTTGAATACCTAAGAATGATGTTGTCCAAATGATTATTGTCACAAATTATAGTAGAATCATAGGTAAAGATAAATATGATGTAACCTTGGGATTTATAAATGTTGAGCCTATGATATTTTGATCCCACTTTTGAAGAACAAATCATTTTTGAAAGTGATTAATGGATTTCTTATATTATCCGATTTAAAGGGATAATTATTTGTAATGATATCTTAACCGCTTTCATAGCATCGTGAATAACTTATATCATATACAATATGACATATTGAAATAATGCTTGATTTGTTATGATGTGTGAAGTTATATGTTGTTTACTGGCTATTTAAAGATACAAATTGGTGAGAAGCTATGAGATATGGCTTGAGAGATTGTTTTATTATTGAGCCCTTATATCTATTTAAAGTCTATAAATTAGTGGGAAGTTACGAGATCCAATTTGGAATATTGGATATTGTTTTGGTATTGAGCCATTACTAGCTACTCAAAGATCTTTTAAAATGTAACAAGACTTGAACATTGTATTTCGTTTGTCTGTTTCTCTTGGAGACTTTAAATTGGGATATATTAGCACATTAATGTGGATGTGAGTTTTATCTTCTTGTATATACTTGAGTTGTCTCCCTAAACCAATTCATTTGAAAATTTTAAATTTATGCAATGCATCGATACTATATAAGGCATTACATACATTATGGCAAACCCTACTAACTCCACAACATGAGAACTCTCTGCAACAAGCATACCACTTTATACTGAGGAGAATTCTTCAACATAAAATTATTACCTAGATCCCGGTATAACTTGTTCACCAATTCTAAACCTTCCAAAATTTTCCAATTAAAAACCTCCTTAATTTATCCTTCTATATATAACAGGACTTCTAATTTGTATTAATGTCACATTCAAGAATATTGGATGCAATGCAAAAAACTATTGGTCCAAAACCGCTAAACAAATATGTTGTCTAGTAGGGATCTAAACGTGCACTACCCGTGCTTAAATGTTCAAACCAAAATTTGACATCCACAAAGTAATATCATTACCTCAGTTGGAGATATTCCAAATGAAATGTTGCGAAAACAATCCATATTTGGCCGTTGAGCTCCATGAAAATGGCCAATATCCCATTCGTAACCTAAATTCAAGGAATCACAACATCTTCAAACTTTAATAGGACAATAATTTGAAAGCAATCTATAAGTGTCTATAGTGAAGAATACTTTCTAATTATTATCCAAAAATATTGGCCTTGTATTTCTTTTTTCTTATTGCACTTTAGACATCACAATTTTTTTGATAGAAAAGATGGCCTCGTTAAAAAAACCCCTTCATAACCGTCAAGCTACAAAGGTAGATCAACGGACATTGGAAAGAGGAAAAGAGTTCCATAAATTTTATTACTAAAAACCAGATACAACAAGAGTACAAAATACCAAAATACATCAAAACATCACCTACCATCGAACAACAAAACAACCCAATACATAACAACTAACCAATCCCTAAAGTTTGCAACCTTGTCTAAACTATCCAATCCCCAATTTAACAAACTCGTCTGCCTTATAGTTGGCAACTCTCTTAATATGCCTAATGATCATACTCCTATTTGACACAATATTAACAATGACTTTCACCAATGTCTTAAACAAAGGAGTACAAGAAACTGGATTATTGACCCACTCTAAGGCAACTAAACAATCAGACTCTAAAATTAGTCTTCCCCTTGATGCCTACTCCAATTCAAAAAATAGATGCAAACCCCTCTTAATAATCAACAGTTCTGCCAAAATTGGAGGGCCAGATCCAACTTTCTCAGAAAACGAATCCAACATTACACCCTTTTTATCCCGAAGCAAACCACTTATGTTACCATTCTTCCAATGACTATCATAGCACCATCCACGTTTACCTTTAGAAAACCTGATAGAGAAAGACACCAGCCTTCACAAACAGAATAAACCTTTTTTGAACACTGGTAGGAATCTGCTATTGAAAGATCACCCACTAAATTGTCCAAAAGGGTTGAATAATTTTGAAACTTTGAAGAAAACCATGTTGCTACTCTATATTTTACCAGGAAAAAAGTTGAACTCGATCAAGTTCCCTTTATTAAAAATAATTTTGTTTCTTTTCTTCCAAACTGACCACAAGATTGCTCCAGGGATAAAGGTACATATGGACAAATTTGGGACCAAACCAGGCCGAGAGTAAATTAGTTGGACTTTCGGGGACAACAAAAGAGATAATCCATATACTCATAAAATTTGTCCAAAGACCCCAAGATACATTGCAAGAAACAAAAAGATGAGAAACATATTTTGGATAAGCGCCACACAAGGGACAAAATTGATCCTCAATCCCCAATACACCACGATTAACTAATTCGACTTTTACTGACACCTTTTTGTGAGCCACACGAAAGACTCCACCCGAGGAGAGGCAACCCCAAGCCACACATATTATGACCATAAAAAATTAACTTCAGACCTATCAAACATAAACCTCATACACGATTTCACAGAGAAACAACCATCTCCCTGCTAAGACCAAACATAACTATCATCAATCAACTCCGAGGAGTGAAACTTGCATAACAACAAAAAAAAATTGAAGCCACTGCTCCATCTTCCAATCTGTCAAGTTCCTCCTCATCTGGATATCCCCAAATCTAGCCATAAGAGCTTCTTATCCTAAAGTCAACAATTCCTCCCTTCTTTTTTAGTCGAGAGGATAAATAATCTTGGAAATTGATTTTTCAGGGGCACTCCATCTAACCATGCATCATACCAAAACGAAATTGATTCACCATTACCGACCCTAATATGAGTATTGCCCTTAAAACAAACACCAAAATCATCACATGAAAAATAGTTATTAATTATCACTTTCCATATCCAAAAAACGCTAGACGAAATCAATTTATCAACCACAAAGGATTTCAAGTCAAGATTGTTGACATAACATATAATCTTTTTCCACATCGACTCTTTCTCAGAAACAAACTTGCACATGCACTTCCCCAAAAGAGCTCTATTCATAAGATCCAATTTTGTTATTCCCAAACCGCCCAATTCATTCAATCTCCAAACCAAAGCCTACATTACCCAATGAATACTTTTCTTGTCATTCGACCCCCCATAAGAAACCAACCATAATAGTGTTTAGCTTCTTTAGCAAACATGAAGGAATTCTAAATAAAGACATAAAGTATATTAAGAAGGAGTTTAACACAAACTTAATCAACAGAACCCTTCTTGCTAAATATAGGATCGCCATCTTCTAACCCGTTAACTTCTTTTGAAATCTCTAAATTACAGGATCCCAAATCAATGTCGAATTTCTTTTTTCCCCAAGAGAAAGCCCTAAGTAATCTGCCGAAAACGATCCAACCGAGCAACCCAATGAACAAGCCCAATCATTAATAATATCAGCATCCATATTGATTCTATAAATCTTGCCCTTTGTCATATTCAATTGCAGACCAACCATCAATTCAAAGACCGATAAGACCCGACTAATGTTCCTCAGTTCCCCAAAAGAAGCATTACAAAAAATAATTAAGTCGTCAGCAAATTGCAAGTGTGAAAGTATTAGAGAGTACCCCTGACCACCAATCTCAAACCCCCTAAACAACCCAACATTTACAGCTTTAGTTAACAAAAGGTTCAATAGCTCACCTATAATATTGAAAAGTAAAGGTAACAGAGAACACCCCTGGCAAAGCCCTTTCGAAATCTTTAATTCTTATGTGGGAGACCCATTAACTAAAACGAAAATGAATGCCAATGATAGACATAACTCAATCCACGATAATCATCTCATACCAAAGCCCATAATATTCATAATTTTTAGAAAAATTCCCCAATCCACTGAATCATACGCTTTCTTGAAATCCACCTTAAAAACGACACCCTTCAACCCCTTCTTCCTCCATAATTCAATGGCCTCATTGGCAATAAACAAACAGTCCATGATCTACCTCCCTTGTGTGAAAGCGAATTGAGATGGATCGATAATCCCATCCATACAAGAGGGTAACCTTCTTGATAATACCTTTGACAGAATTTTATAAAGCCCCCTCAAAGATCATGACATTCCCAACCGCTCCAACAACCCTCGTCACGTTTTATGAATTAACCGTGCTATAAAACAACCTCTCGACAATGGAAAAGAATGAGGAAACATGTTTCAGCCAGAAATCATCACATGCAAACAAAAACGAAAACAAAAATAAGAAATATCCTTGTATTTTCATTTTTTTTATATTTGTAGCCTTTTTCTCGATCAGTTATATAAACCCGAGAAAGATATTGTAAAAGGATCCTTTTTTCGAGCATTAATACACAAGATTTTCAAAGGTAACCTTTCTTTTCACTTTAGTATAAACAAAAATAAGGGGGGAAATAAAGGCCAAGACCCTTTTTTACCTGAGATAGTCGAACCTCTTCTGAAGGTCAATGACACCCAGGTGAGGCTCCATCACTGAGGACTGACAGATTTTATTTTTGGGGTGGTTTACATGTTAGATTTAAGGGTTCATTTGCGTGAGTTTTCAAAACGTTGCTAGGTTTCGTCTGAGACTAAAAACAGATGAGTATGGGAAAGATTTAGAGGCGTTTAGGTTTTTTTTAGGAAGTTTGAGGTTTAGTTTTGAGTAGATGAGTTTTAATTTAGGGTTTTAAACACGTCGAGATTATTTTTGGGATGACGTTTGGGTTTCTCGGGCACCACGTGTGGTGGCGGGTGAAGAAGAGAAAAGAAGAAATTGGGAAGAGAAAATGAGAGTTAAGAGAACTCTCAAATCCAAAACGGCTGAAATGATTTAGGTTAAGTCAACCAAATTATAATTAAGCTTATATATTAGGTTTTTTGGGGTTATTTAATTTTAGGTCATCGTAGCTTTAGGTTTAATCACGTATAGGTCTCCCAGTTTACCCTTTTTTTACAAGTTAGTCACCTGTAGGGATTGTTTTCAAATTTACCTTTTTTTATTTGTCATCGTAGTGTTATTTTTCAGTTTTACGCTTCAGTTTTAATTTTTTTGGGTTATTTTCGTTTAAGTCATTCATATTTATACGCGTGCATTTAAATTCATGCTTTAATTCTTGATTTACTTGTTTAATTTCGGTTGTGTTTTAATTTAGTCACTAGTTAAAATTGTACATTTAATTCGGATTTAATTCTTAATTGATTCATTAAATTTTCAATTCGGTCCTCCAAGTGTTTGTTTAGCCAAATAATCTTAGAATTAATTTATAATTTCTGGTTAGCTTGTGAATAAGTAGTTAGTTTTTTTACACAAAAATTTAATATATTTATTTTATTATACATGTTTTTATCTTGAATCTATTGCTTCCATTTATTATCTTTTATGGTTTATCTTTAGATTAAGTACTCTCCTTATTTAATAAGTTAGGATCGAGATTCATTTTAGGGCTTACTTTCACCTTAGTTTTAATTAGGGGAAGATTTGATTTTGGTTTTTCGTTTTAAGATACTCAATTGCCCAAATCGATTATTCGTATCAATAAATGGACAATCTATCAAGTTAATAATTTGAGCTTTAGTTTAGATTTAGTCCCTTGAG